GCCGGTACGAGACTCGAACCCACAACCTTTGGGTTATGAGTCCGACTCTCTAACCATTAGGCCACGACTTCCCTTTTTTATGTGTGTTGTGGTATTCATAAAACACTCAATTATGGCCCTGCAAAAGAATATAGCCTTCTCAAATGGTCAGTGCTAAAGCAGTTGTAAACTGGTTCAAAACATTTTGCTATTGCATCACACAAAGCATTTACAAAGGTGGTCAGGGACGTATGCGCTCATTTCATTTGTAGTGTAACCATTAATGCATCCTGACCCGTCCTGAACAACAGAAAAGACCCACCTACTCACCCATCAATCAAGTAGTTTAAACTGGTTAGGCCTGACTAATACTTGTGATTGGATGCATCCAAGACAGATGTCTAGAAATAGAGGCTATCAATAAAATGTGTCAAAATGGCATCAGATGACAAATATGTGTGTTTATTCTGAATTTCTATAGTGAACTCCGCACAGAACAGCTCAGAGAGCAGCAGCGGAGGCCTGCAGAGACGAGACTCCGCCCGACGGTGCGCCTCCATCATCTTGCCCGTCAAATCCAACCTGCTGGTCATCAGCGGTGGCGACGGCTATGAAGACTTCAGACTGACCAATAGCAGCGAGACGGTGGGGCGGGACGACAGCACCAACCACTTACTGCTGTGGCGCGTGTGACGGAAGCCCCGCCCCTCGACACACAAGCCGCTGGACCAGCCCACGCACTTCCCCCCGAAACCCCGCCCCTTCCTGTTCTCTGATGCGTTGTGCATGAGTGTGTAAGACGCCAACCAATGGGGTGTTTGTCGTTACGTTGTGTTATGGGTCATTTTTGTTTCTTGATGTAAAATATCGATCTCGCTTGCCATGTGGTTTTTCTGTGGCCGCTTTTGAATATTGTGTTGAAACTTTAAAGCAGCTTTCGGACGAAATTATCGTAAAAATCCTTGAAGAAGAAAAGATAGACATCAGAAAGAGAAAAAGCAGGAAAAGGTGAAGTAAAAAAGAAAGGAAGCAAGAATTGTTGGATAGAGAGAGGGTTTGAATGCATCACATGAGGCAGGGAGGATTGTGGGTAATGTGGATGGACGTACAAAGTGGAAAGACATGTTTTCTTCATCTTTCACTTCGTTAGAGGACAAGTCCGCACACTTTTATGGTCAACTACTGGTCTTGACAGACTGTGATTTCATTGGAGAACGAAGATGTTTTTGTTAAAGCTCTCGTTTGTGTTGTTCGGGGCGAGATGAGAGTTAATCTTACATAACCAATGTGCAATATAAGGCTAGAGTACCTACAAACTGCTATATGACACACACACAATTTACTACTTCAGTAATCATCAAACTCACAGTTAGAGTTATTACACACTATCACTTTATTTTTTTTGGTTATTGAATCATCTTTATGTATAAAAAATAAGACTTCACAATGTTATGTAAAAGAACAGCAATGACATTCCATATATAGGTATTGTGACAAAAATCCTTTTGTACAGTATTTATGTTTTTCATTTTTAGTTGTCTCTTTTATAGCACTTAATTTATAAATAAAGTAGTCTGACGTATTTCTCTACTGAAAGATTTCGAGGCTCAAGTTGGGTCAGTGAGGTCGCATTTGTATGATTTTTGAAACATTATTCAGGTGAATCTCACGAAGAAACATCCAGGTCATATTTCACCCCAAAATCAAAAGAAATAAAATTACAAATTATAGTTTGCATAAAGAAAATAAAAAAGCCTTAGGATTTTTTTTAATCGTCTTTGTTTTTATCACAATTTCCCCCCAAAAAACAAAAAACTAAACATTCACATTCCTGTAATACATTTTCATTCTTCCAATTTTTTAAATTAAATTTAGTCCAACAAATACTTTGGTATGTACTTTACAGATTTACTGTATTTTTTTCACATTACAATAATATTTTTTGCATTACGGTAATTGGAATCTGGGGGAAATGTGATGAATTATCATGTAAAAAATGTAAAAACAAATTAAAAAATATATATATATTAAAAATTATCAAATAATTAAAAAATAGAATTTATTTTATGCAAATTTCTTTTATTTTTGGGATGAAATATAACTTCAGGATTGGTGAGATTCTCAGATCAACAGCTGTGTCATTTCAATGCTCGTTTTCATCACTATAATAATTGAGGAAAGGGAATTTCTTATATAATGTTGCTGAAGACTGCGTCAATTTGACATACAGAGTTTGGAGTGGAGAGAGAAACTCTGTGCTTGTTTGTGAGTGTGTCTGTGTGTAGATTAGGACTCGTAGAATGAAGTCAGATGGGTTACAGCCCTTCGGCTCCATCCGGGCACTTATGAGAGACAATTAACTGCTAAAGCGCTCTGCCTGCGCCGCCCACCATCAGGTGGGTGAACTTCCTTTTAATTGAGCAATTTCAGCTGCCTTAGTTTGTCTGGAAAGAACCGCGTCGGTCACAAACACACCCACTCACCTGAAGGATGTGAAGTCAGACTTTTCCCAGACCGCATCATGCATGGAAATTCATGAATATTTTGCAAGCTTGTTTTATTGATTGATCTGTTGAGCAGTTGTGAACGCTAGTGCCAAGAACTCGCAGGTAGAAATGCCAAAGCGTTGCAGAAGATAACTTCTTATTACAAACAGGATCCTCAGAGAATCATATTTTCATAAACTGAGTCTGCATTTTTTGCTTTTGAATCAAATATCTAAATCAATCAGTGATGATAGTCCTAAGTCGAGTCTTACTGTTGTAAGTGACCCTCTCAGCCCTTTCTAGTGAAAGACGTCATCAATGTTTATTGTAAATATTGGTATATATTGCCTTTCTCTGTAAATAGTGCTCTCACAGTCCACGATTGTTCATATGAATCTGATGGCATATTTTTATAAGTATTTTTGTCTATTTTATTTTTCCTCATTTGGCATGTGCGGTCTCATTTAAATTAAAACTATTACAGTATTTTAAAAGAAGAGAAGAGAAGCCGCTCCACGTCTGTGGGTCCTGTAACAGTCGTCATGCTTATTTCACACTGTTGTCCTATTTTGTCACTGTGGGTTTCTTTGTAATTAAACATTCACTGATGCCGGAATCCAGAGGCTCCGATAATTCATTTACAAACACACTCACACATGATCTCACCTGTCATCGCAGTCAAATGAGTCACTGTCAATGCCAGGAAGTTTATGAATTTGTTTTCAGATTCAAAAGGGAACAAAATAAAACTTCAGACTCTTTTGAAAAGGTAAATTGTAATGAAATGAGGTGAAGAAAATTTCGGGTGCCAGAAGTTGAGATTTGTCTGAATAGAATCGAATAACAAAAAAAGTGATATTAAATGAAAATATAAATAATGTAGATTTCTGCTATTTCTCTTACAGTAACTTCTGGGTACCACAGTTTTATGAAACGTCACATTTTTTAAATCATGCTGTAACGGTTGCTCAAAATGTAGAACACAGCTAAATATGTGTGTGGAAATTAAAATAAGATCATTTTACAGCGTGCTCTTTTGTCTTCTGTGTTAAGTTATATTGGTGTGAAAAGGTGATTCATGCTTAATAGTTTTACTCATTTCTCTTATTAATCTTTTCCCTCAGTATGTGATTAATAAGTATAAAACGTGATTCAAGTGTGAATCATCACCTAGTTTAAGATTAAAATAACTTTGAAAAGCTTTGTTCTGTGGTCAATTTAATATGTATGATTTTGTATGGTTGTATGATTTTAATGGTTAGAAACAGCCTATAGAAGGTCATGACCCCTGAGGAGGGACAGGCCCAAATCACAATTTTAAGGAGCTTAGGGACATTTTAAAAGTGCCTATGTATGTGTGTATGTATATATATATGTATACAATATATATACATACATTACCGTTCAAAAGTCAATAGAAGCTGAAAAAATGTCAAATTTATTATATACTTTCATTGGCACCTGAAAGTTATTACAAATGTCATGTTAATTTAATCAACTGTGCAATTAAATTTTAAAGGCAGGTGGGTTACATGTGCTTTAGACTCGTTCCAGACATTAGTATTTATATCTTTAATTTAATGCACACTCCATTGGATGGCTGCTATGACAACCATCAAATTAATTCAGAGTGAAATCACTAGTAACCAACATTTTCAGTGATGATTTTTATTTATTTTTTTGCTGTAGTGTTGAAACGCACCTGGAATGACAAGATATTAGTGTGAGATTCTGTTAAACTGCCCTGCAGCGTGTGTTTATGCTGCATGAGTGCATTCCATGCATACAGCGCTGGAGAGACAGAAACATGCAAATCTAAAAGAGCAGAGCATATGAAATATAAGGTGAGATGTTTGCTTTTATATTTGTCTCATGCCACACAGAAAGAGAGAGAAAGAGACATTTCCTCCTGTTTCTGCATTATTTTACTTTGGGAACATGCTAAATGAATGTCATTTCATTATCAACTAAGTGTCTTATGTAGTTCAACCAAAATTGTAGATGAGTTTGGTTGGAAGGTACAGCTTTTAAATGTTTTTGAAAGAAATCTTGTTGACTGCATTTATTTGATAAAATATATAGTAAAACCATAAATAAACTGTGAAATATTATTGCAATTTAATATATAAATTTTTTATTTGAATATATTATAAAATGTTATAAAATTCCTGTGATCAAAGCTGAATTTTCAGCATCATTACTCCAGTCTTCAGTGTCACATGATCCTTCAGAAATCATTCTAATATGCTTATATATTTTTTTTTTTTTGTGGAAACCGTGAAAATGTTTTCAGAATTCTATGAATAGAAAGAACAGCATTTATTTGAACTAGAAATCTTTTGTATCATTATAAATGTCTTTACTGTCACTTTTGATCAATTTAATGCATCCTTGCTTAATTTATTTTATTTTTTATTTTTTGCTGTAGGGTTCATTGTTGAAACGCACCTGGAATGACAAGAAATTAGTGTGAGATTCTGTTAAACTGCCCTGCAGCGTGTGTTTATGCTGCATGAGTGCATTCCATGCATACAGCGCTGGAGAGACAGAAACATGCAAATCTAAAAGAGCAGAGCATATGAAATATAAGGTGAGATGTTTGCTTTTATATTTGTCCCACATGCCCCCTGTTTGAGACCCTATGTCCCCTGTTTCTGCATTATTTTACTTTGGGAACATGCTAAATGAATGTCATTTCATTATCAACTAAGTGTCTTATGTAGTTCAACCAAAATTGTAGATGAGTTTGGTTATTCATCAGAACATTTGGAAAAATGTATCATAACAAGTGAATCCGCTGCAGTGAATTTTGTCCAAACAGCTGATTAAAAAGATGTTAACTGATGGACTGGAGTGGTGTGGATTCTTGTGCATTATTGTGATGTTTTTATCAGTTGTTTGGACTCTCATTCTGACGGCACCCATTGGGATACATTGCTACATTTCTACAAATCTGTTCCCATAAAGAATCAAACTCATCTATAGCTTGGATGGCCTGAGGGTATGTACATTTTCAGCAAATTTTCATCTTTGGGTGAACTAGGCCCTATTTCTTTAAAACGTCCTTTAAGAGTGATTAAAATGTGCAAATACTTTTTTGATGTGGTGATATAGTTTGATATAGTTTTAAATTAGTTTCTCTTATTTCCTACTGTAGGCTGTAATATTACTTGGCACTGTTTTGACAATGCGGTAAATCTTCTCCTGAATGAATAGAGAGAGAGAGAGAGAGAGAGAGAGAGAGAGAGAGAGGGAGGGCTGTAATTTTAAGATGTGGCTTTTAATAAATACATAAATGCCGTGGCTTTTTCAAAGAGAGAGAGAGCACGGCCGGGTGGGAGGTGAAGAGAAGCTCCTGTTACACGCGCTGTGACGCGACTCGGTTCAAATGTTGGATCATCTGCTCATCTCTGCGGTTCTGTGTCTCTCTCCCTCTCTGTGTGTAATTATAGATCACACATCCGGCATATGATGATTATCGGACACTTATGAATTCACAGTAAAACAGGTAAGAAAAGACACGAACCTTATTGACTGTGAAAGAGTGTTTAACAGACGGACGGGGACAGCTGCGGTGCGGGTGCGGCATTTCTGCCGGTGTGTTTTCAGTAACTTATGGATTGGGTTG